ACTATCAGAAAATACTAGATAGCCAGGGTGAGGTCTTTGACTGCATGGAGCTCGTGGTGAGTTATAGGGTCTGAAATGCACTAAAGAGTTTAAAAATCATTAATGGTGCAAACACAGAAGTGTCAACTGACCTGTTGTGTCTGAATCATTCGTCTTTAGAAGATATCAGACTATGCAAGACCCACTAATTAGATTGTTTACCTTAGAGAAGTGATTCTCTTCTCTATGCCAATGAGGAATTGACATAGTGAGGTCACTGAACATAGTACATTGTTTAATAAATGTTTTCCCGCAATGAACACAAGGAATCTGCTATCGTATTTCAATATCATTCTACAGTCCAAACCTGCATTACAGGTTATGAAAGGGAAATAAGTGGAAATTTCTAATGAAATCATCACCAAATGCTTTGGTTTGGCATTTGCTTTATTCACCCAGTTCACTAAATTTCCAAAGAGTTTTCTCTTTTATCTTCTGAGTTCCCTGAAAACTTTTTTTTGTTTTATTTTGCAGCTGGATGAACTGCAGCAGGCAGTGAAGTTGTTGCAGGCTTTCATAGAAGACAGTACACAGTACCTCCGGAATCTGTCAGAGCAACTTGGTAAGCAGACATTCCAGCCATCCGACAGTAAATGCTTCCTATCCATTAAATACAGAACCTTTGTGGTTAACCAATAAAACCCAGAAGGCTGTAGAGGGAGATGGATTAATTTTTGTTCTCTTCCTCTCACCCCTAAATCGCTTTGGCAGTACCATGACAAGCTGTCATTAGAAGAGTTGTTTTTTTGTTTTTGTTTTTGTTTTTTTAAAACGATACTATTTGCTTCACACAGTACTTGTTAGACCACTCTAGAAAGCATTAAAAATCTATTGAGGGAAAAATGATATTGAGTGCAAGTTACCTTAAAAAGGGTTTATTATTTATTTTATACTTAAGCTCTTACTCCACCCTCTTCATTGCTGACGTTCTGCCTATGTATACAGTTCATTCTAGTATATTACACAAGGAAATCCTGGATTCCTATAGGTGTTGAGGACATTTTACTGAATATTGTATTGAGAGAGACCATAGTATGTAGCAGGGGTCTCAAACTCAAATGACCACGAGGGCCACATGAGGACTAGTGCATTGACCCGAGGGCCGCATCACTGGCCCTGCCCCCACTCCACCCCTTCCATTAGGCCCCGTCCCGCCCCACCTCTTCCAACCCCTTCCCCAAAGTCCCCACCCTAACGCTGCCCCAGGGGGTGCAGAAAGGGTGCAGGGTGCGGTGGGGGCTCAGGGCAGGGAGTTGAGGTGCAGGAGGTGTGCAGGGTGCAGCAGGGGGCTCAGGGCAGAGAATTGGTGTGTGGGGTGCAAGAGGGTGAGGGCTGCGGCAGGGGGTCGGGGTGCAGGGTGCAGCAGGTGGCTCAGGGCAGGAGGGGTGCAGGATACGGTAGGGGGCTCAGGACAGGGAGTTGGGGTGCGGGATGTGGCAGGGGGCAGGGAGCTGAGGTGCAGGAGGTGTGCAGGGTGCAGCAGGGGGCTCAGGGCAGGGAGCTGAGGTGGAGGAGGTGTGCAGGGTGTGGCAGGGGGCTCAGGGCAGGGAGTTGGTGTGTGGGGTGCAAGAGGGTGAGGGGTGCGGCAGGTGGCTCAGGGCAGGGAGTGCAGGAGGGTGTGGGAGGTGGCAGGGGGCTTAGGGCAGGGAGTTGGGGTGCGGGATATGGCAGGGGGCTCAGGGAAGGGGGTGGGGTGCAAGAGGGGTGTGGGATGTGGCAGGGGACTCAGGGCAGGGAGCTGGGGTGCAGGAGGGGTTCAGGATGCGAGCTCCAGCCCGGTGCCGCTTACCTAGAGCGGTTCCTGGGTGGCAGCGGCGTGCACTGGGGGCCAGGGCAGGCTCCCTGCTTGCTTGCCCTGGCCCCGGCCCCACGCCGCTTTGCTCCAGGAAGCAGCTGGAACTGTGTCCTTGCACCTCCTGGGGAAGGCGGGGGCTGCTCTTGCCGTTCCTCTAGGTACCTCCCACTGGCCGCGGTTCCCTGTTCCCGGCCAATGGGAGTTGCGGGGAGCGGTGCCTGGAAAGAGGCAATGCAGGAGCCCTCTGCCTCCTTCCCCCCTCCCCCCCCCCCGGCCGGAAGGGGCATGCTGCCAGCTGCTTCAGAGAGTGGCGTGGGGCTCGCAACGCCACAGGGGCAATCCCGACGGGCGAGGCGGGGGGGGGGGGGGAGAAAGGGGGCGGGGAGCTTGGCAGGCCACACGCAAGAGCCCCGTGGGCCGTGTGTTTGAGACCCCTGGTATCTAGCCATGTTAGTGAAAATAACAAATTGCACCTCTCACAATTGCCTATTTAAGGCTGTTCCCATATCGGGTCTCTTATGTACATATTGTATTGCCTTTATAAATCCATGGTACGCCCACATCTTGAATACTACGTGCAGATGTGGTTGCCCCATCTCAAAAAAGAAATATTGGGATCGGAAAAGGTTCAGAAAAGGGCAACAAAAATGATTAGGGGTATTGAGTGCTTCCATATGAGGAGAGATTAAAAAGACTGAGACTGTTCATCTTGGAAAAGAGACGAGGAAGGGGGGAGATGATTGAGGTCTATAAAATCATGACTGGTGTGGAGAAAGTAAATAGGGAAGCGTTATTTACTCCTCATAACACAAGAACTAGGGATCACCAAATGAAATTAATAGACAGTAGGTTTAAAACATCAAAAGGAAGTATTTCTTCATACAATGCACAGTCATCCTGTGGAACTGTTTGCCAGGATGTTGTGAAGGCCAAGACTATAACAGGGTAAAAAAAAAATTAGATAAATTCATGAAGGATAGGTCCATGAATAGTTATTAGCCAGGATGGGCAAGGATGGTGTCCCTAGCCTCTTTGCCAGAAGCTGGGAATTGGGCAACAAGGGATGGATCACTTGATGATTCCCTGTTCTATTCATTTCCTCTGGGGCACCTGGCATTAGCCACTGTTGGAAGACGCTATGGGGCTAGATGGACCTTTGGTCTAACCCAGTATGGCTGTTCTTATGTTCTTCACCAGTCTGAGGAATCATAAAATCAGCCCTAAATCTATGGATGCTGAACTCTGCCTTTAGGAGCAAGAGGAAATTTAAATGTCTAAGACCCCTTTCCCTACTGTCTGACTCACACTGATGGGTTTGTGGAGACATGTTTAGGTCACATCCTTAAAAGCAGACTCTACGCTCCAGAGGTGTGGAAACTGATGCACAGAAAAGCACGGGGACCTGTTCAAGACCTCAGCCAAGCTGGGGCACAACCAAAATTTGATCCTGGCGTTCCTGGCATCCAGGTCTCTGCTCCATTGTAACTGCTTCAGATTAGCAAAAGCCTTTCCCTAGACTGTGTGGCGATAACTGGGGAATTTTGTTGCTTCTCTTCCAGCATCAAGGACTTTTCAGCAACTGGAAAACTCACCTATTCGGAAACTACTCAAAGTTCCCCCAAAGAAGCCACCAGTCAGCCACTGCCAGCAGCCTCCTGAGGGTTAAACACAGACTTGCAGCGGACAGTTGTCAGTGCCTCCTTCTGCCTTTATTACCTTTCCCTGCAGGCTCCTTCCTCCCTTCTCTAAGCGGTGCCTGGGGGGTAGCACCACTTTGCCTTAGTAAATGGGCGGGGGGGGCTCCTGTCCTGGGCTTGTGCTATGGCACTGAGCTGTATGGCCTGACCCTGCCTTGCTGTCACTGGTGCCTGTGCTGTGAATAAAACTGCGGGGCGTCGCCCCCCCTCTGCTGCTGCGTGTGGGCTCTGCTGCTGGGGGGCGGGGCCAGGGAGGGGGGACGGGAAGGGGCGAACCAACAGAGGGGCGGGGGGGAAGCGAACAGAACACCAGCGGCGCCTGCGCACTGTGCAAGTGGGTGGCGCATGCGTCACTGGTGTTCTGTTCGCTTCCCCCCCGCCCC